TTTTTTGGTCTTTTTGAGACAAGGTCTCCCTGTAGCCCCAGCTGTCATGGAACTCACTATGTAGACCAGGCTGGCCTTGAACTCACAGAGATACGCCTGCCTCTGCCTCCCGAGTGCTGGGATTAAAGGTGTGCGCCACCACATCCGGCCAAGATTTATTTTTTAATTGTATTACATGTATTTATTTAGTGTATGTGTGTGGTGGGTGTACATGCAGTACACATGTGGAAGTCAGAGACAACTTGCAGGTATCTATTTTCTCTTTCTACTAAGTGGGTCCTGGGGATTGAACTCAAGTATCAGGCTTGGTGGCAAGTGCCTTTACCTGCTAAGCCATCTCGAAGGCCCCAGGAAGATTTTTCAAAACGCTGCTATGGAGTCGGGCATGGTGGCGCACACCTGTAGTCCCAGCACTTGGGAGGCAGAGGCAGGAGGATCTCTGCAAGTTCAAGGCCAGCCTGGTCTACAGGGAGACCCTGTCTCAAAAAGACAAAACAAACAGAAAAACACTGCTATGGGCCAGAAGAGATAGCTCAGTGGTTAAGGGCATTTCGCTGCTCTTGCAGAGAGCCTGGGTTTGGTTCCTAGCACTCACACTGAGCATCTCACAACTGCTTGTAACTCCAGCTCCAGGGGATGGTGGTTCACATCATGCAGGCACATGCATATACACATAAATAAAAATAACTATTTAGCCAGGCGCACACCTGTAGTCCCAGCACTTGGGAGGCAGAGGCAGACGGATCTCTGTGAGTTCAAGGCCAGCCTGGTCTACATAGTGAGTTCTAGGAAAGCTGGGGCTACAGGGAGACCCGGCTTCAAAATAACAAAACAAAACAAACAAACAAAATAACTATTTAAAAAATAAAATAAAAATGCTTCTATCATCCATTTTCCTGCCTTCCCACATCAGTAAGAGTTGGGTAGCACTGTGATCTTTCCTACTGCTACCGAGATGATACACAACCTTTTTCTCAAGATCACATGAGTCTCTTGAGCCTTTTACATCCAGTGAACACTCAGGAGTAGATGCAACTAGCCTCATGCATGCACCCAGTCCCACCTCTGCGACAAAGAAAGGCTTTGGGCTCAGGAGAGTTGACAGAGGCCATGTGAAGAAGGGGCTGAGGGTGGCTGGGTTTCTGATTTCACGTAAATTTCCCAGGGTGGCGTGTTCCAGTCTCCCCAGTCCTGACCCCGGCATCATGCATCGGACTACACGGATTAAAATCACAGAGCTGAACCCTCACCTCATGTGTGCCCTCTGTGGGGGCTACTTCATTGATGCTACTACTATCGTGGAGTGCTTGCATTCTTGTGAGTTGGGCACAGAGGTGTCCAGGTGGAGGGGTATTGCCTGGGAAGGTGAAACAACCCCGACTGCTCTGCAGAGCAGACCCTGGGTCACTGAGGGACTGCCAGGGAGAGATAAGGTTGGGGGTGCTCCTGGGCCCAGAAGTTCATTCCAGGGACAACATCTGAAATCTCAGCTCGCTTTGGAATCTCTGGCTGAAGTATGGCCCCTCAAGAGCCAGGCGTTGGGAGCTGGAGAGATGGTTTAGTGGTTAAGAACAGTTGTTGTTCTTCCAAAAGACCTGGGTTCGATTCCCAGCACCCACATGGTGGTTAACAACTATCTGTAACTCCTTTTTCTGGCTTCTGTGGGCACTGCATACATGATGCACTTACATATATTCAGGCAAACATACACATAAAATAAAAATAATAAATAAAATACTTTTAAAAAGATTCAGGGATCACTTATTTGTGCTGTTGGGTTGGTTGCAAGAGATCCAGGGCTGGTGAGATGTCTTACCAGGCTTGCCCAGAGGGGCCTGGGTCTTGGTCCACTTTATATGTTGGTCAGGACACCACCGTATCTCACAGACGGGGCCCATCTTTCCCCAAGGATGGACAAGAAGTAGTGGTGGGGTATGTAAAAGGCACATTGCCATGTTGGGGCCTGTGGAGTCCTGAACTGCTGGGCCACAGTAGAGGGGAAGCCCAAATGTGAGAAGAGGCCTGGGGTGGGAAGGGGCTCTGATTGTCTTCTTTCTATCCACACCCCAAAGTCTGCAAAACCTGCATTGTGCGCTACCTGGAGACCAACAAATACTGCCCCATGTGTGATGTGCAGGTCCATAAAACCCGACCGCTGTTGAGCATCAGGTGGGCCTGGCACTGCTCTGGGGCTGTTCCCTCTGTCCCTTAACCCTGCCTCCCAGTGGCTTCTATTTTGGCATGGGCTAAGAAATACTAGATGGACTGTAATCAGAGCAAGGATATGCATGCCTAGGTGTGGGGTCTGAAAAAGCTTCCCTCCCTCCCTCCCATCCCCCCCTCCCCGAGACCCACCGGACCCCGAAGCCAGGTAAGCGGACGCCAACTTGCGCCGGCCCTCCTTCTGCTACCCCATAAGCGTCTGAGCCTGGCAAAGGGGACCAGTCCATCGTGACCCGCAGACCCGGTGGGAGCGGGGAGCTGGGGCCTGGCCTTCCGCTCGCGTCCCCCTCCTGCCGGGACAGCCGCTGTCCGCCTCGCCCCGTCCGCCTTTCTTTCTCCCTTTTCTCTGTCCCTTTTTTTCCTTTCCTCCCTTCCAAGATGGCCGAAGTGGATTCCCCCTCTTAACGATTTGGCTTCTCCCTCGACCACCTCCTCTTTGTGCAGCAGTCCTCTGCTAGATCCTGCCCCCGAGGTATCGAGGGGGAGGGTCCGGGTGGCCACGAGGAAGCTTTGGGGGCACACGCTGGGGTGAATCTTGGTTCTCCCCCCCATCTCCCCACAAGCGGGAACAGACTGGCTCTGGCCGATCTGCCCTTTTCGAGCCAGACGGGGGTCGCCTCTCTCGGGGGCACTGAACTGAGCATCGCCAGCGCCAGGTCAGGAGGAAGGGGACTGGGCTTTCCGATTGCAGCGATGCCGGGGGAGGGCGCCCTTCCTGCTGGGGCCCGGGTCTTGGGCACCTCCCCCAGCGGTCCCTTTCCCCGGTCCCTGTGCGGGGCGCCCCGCCCCCTCCCTGTACCACCTCGGCCGAGCTTTTCCCTAGCACCCCTTCTGGGGCCCCACCGAAAGTTTGGCTCTAGGGAAGGAGGGAGTGGCCACTCGGTCACTGGGGTGCTTGATCCTTTGACCTGGGCTTCGGGGGAAGCCCTGGTGGAGGAGGTAGAATGGAAATGAGGGGAGATTTAGCCTACTATTCCCTTTCACCGGCGGTGGCCAAGGGGTCTGATGAGCTGGCCCTTCTTCCACTGTGGATTTGGCCACCCTTTCCTCCCTGAACACTCCAGCTGGTAGCTCTATGGACTGGGGGACCTTGGGCCTGCAGACACCCCTTGCCCTTCCTGTCTCCTCTCGGTCTACCCAAATTCCTCTGATTGACTACATCCAGGGGTGTGTGTGTGTAAATGTGTACAGGTGTTATCTCAAGTTTTCTCCAGGTTTTTGTGTCTCAGCCCCCAGCCCTGCATATCCTTCCACCCCCAAGTTGCCTCAGTCTCTCCAGGGCTCTCCTCGGCTCAGGGAGCAGCTCTCCTAGGCTGTTCTCACAATCTCACAGTTCTGGACTTCTTGCAGTTTGTGCTG